GGACAGCTACCTGCTGGGATCTTTCCCCACCTCACCACTGCAGCCGCTGCCCCCATCTCCTCCTCCAAGTCCCCAAGAGCAGCGCCCTGCACTCACTTCACGCTCTCCACGGGACCGGTGCAAGCCAGGAGGAGATTGTTCTATGAATGAACTACCCCGCTCAAATCCTGAAGCTCCTCAAGTAAAAGACTTCGAAAAGCCACTCTGTGTGCCTTTCCTCAGCCTACAAGGTTAGTAAAGCACTCTTGTTTTTTGAAATGGCAGAACCGTAGAATATTGGATCTGTGGTTGACTTGAAATCCTGAACGACAGGTCATTGCTACCATATCACGTCCTGTTTGAAGTTTGCCTACTTTTGGACTTTGAATTGACTGCTTATGCCCTCTTCTATACAGATGTCACACTAGGAGAGTTTCATCATTGCAATCCAGTTTTTTGTTTTGCTTTGTTTTTTGTTGTTGTTTTTTTAGAGACAGGGTTTCTGTGTATAGCTTTGTAGCCTATCCTCTCACTTGCTCTAGACCAGGCTGGACTCAAACTCACAGAGATACGCCTGCCTCTGCCTCCCGATTGCTGGGATTAAAGGTGTACGCCAACAATGTCTTGTGCAATCCAGAATTTTCTGCGACCATTTCACTCCAGCACTTTCCCTCAAAACTTCAGCCTACCATTCTCCCTTCCCAACTAGTAATTAGTAGTGAAATTCTTTTATCTTATGAGCTATAGCACGAATCTGTCCTAGTTTGTGTTGGCTTTCCCAACATCCCCATGGGGCCTTTTGTTATAGGTGACAATCACCCCACGGGTGCTATCTTTTACAATTTTATTACAGACCTTAACCTTCAGGATATCTCTACCTGAATGATTCACTCTAGTATTTTAAAGGCACTTTTCACAGAGCTGGAGAAAGACCTGTACCATTCGCTAACCAGAGGGTAGGAGATAGATTCCAGCTGATGTTGAGATGCTGGCACCCAGTACTGGGTTTGATCCAAAGCAAGCTGTAAATCCGGTCTAGTGGTACACTCAAGGAATTTAAGCACTCAGAAAACTATTCCTTCCCCATTTATTCATTTTGGTTGTGTGTTTGAAAAGGTTGTATGTATTTTTGATTCTCTGTGTATGGATGTTTTGCCGGCATGTTTGTCTATACACCATGTACTTGCCTGCTGCCAGTGGAAGCCAAATGGGGGTCACATTCCTTGGAACTAGAATTACGTATGACTGTAGCCGCCATTTCATTACTGGGATCTGAACCCAGATCCTCTGTAAGAGCACCTTTTGCTTTTAACCACTGAGCCATCCAGCCAGCCCATGCGTGTTTGAAAATGGTGACCCAGGCTGGTCTCAAGCTTGAGACTCACTTCCATTACCTTCTCATAATGCTGGGATCACATACTCATACTATCAACCACAGTACACACCACATACACAGTGAAATAGTCTGAGAAAAATAAAAATAATTTATAATGTGATCAACAGGTAAGTTATAGAACTGAAAGTTTGGAGTGGGGACAGAGCACACTTTTCAGCTTTTATTTAATTTTTTTTTGAGAGTGAAGAAATAGAGTCTCTCTTTGTAGTCTCGGTTGTACTGAAGCAAGGTAGACCAGGCTGGTCAATTTTGGTGTAGTTCTTTGAATCTTCAAAAACAGGAATTCTAAAGATCAGCCATCTTAAAATCCTATTACCAGTATGTCAGAAGACAAAAAAAAAAAAAAAATGCCCAGCAGTGTTCCACGCCTTTATTCCGGGCAATTGGGGGGCAGAGGCAACCAGATCTCTGTGAGCATGGTCAACAGAGTTAGGTCAGGACAGGCTCCAAAGGCTACGTTGTGGCAAACAAAAAACTAAACAACAAACAAACAAACAAAAACAGAGCAGCTAGGAAACTCATTCTCCCCCCCTCTAAGCCAAAAGAGTATTTCTTATGTTCAGCCTGGGGTATTGGAAAGCCCAGACACAAGGCTTCTGGCCGGAGCCTTTGCAATGGAGGGTCAAGGGGCGGAGCCTAGTGTGAGATTTCACAACTTAATTTTCCCGTGCATCACTGACAATATAATTGACATCCAGGGTGTATCTGGCCTGACTTGAGGAAAGAGCCAGACTCCAGGTCCCAGGACTGCAGCTGCTCTGCCTGCACCATCTCAACTGTTTGCTCAGCACACTGTGCCTCATCACCCTGCCACCTGGACAACATGCAGCAGAAGCGACCTCGTAGCCCCAGCCCCGACCGCGCGCCCTGCTGGGCACCACAGCCACAAGGACCCAGCTCTGCCAAGCGCCTCCGCATCCAGGATCCCTCCCAAAATGAGTCCCCCGCACTGCCCAACCTGGAAGCTCCCACCCCGGCCGCCAGCGAGGAGATCATCTCCATGATGGTCCTGCTTGACATGCTGCTGGAGCCCCAGCCCACCTCGGTAAAGCAAGTGGAGCTCCCTGGATTCACCTTAATCCTGGGCCCTGAGGGTCTCCCGTTGTCTGCTCTTCTTGAACAGCCTGAGATCTCCTCCACCAGCCCAGAGAAAGACGCTCTCCTGCAGAAGCCTCAGGACCAACTTGTCCTCCCTGCTGAGTTCAGCCTAGAGATCTCCTATCAAGAGGACGCCTGTGATGAGGACCAGAACTCTGGCTTCATGACACCCTGGATAGGTGCTCCACCTGGTGAGGCCTCTGAGCTTTTTTCCTCCACCAAGAAGATGCCCAGCCCTTGGACCCCGGACTACAACCTCGAACCACAGCTTCCAGTGCTCTCCTCTAATGCAGCCAGAAACATCTGGGAATTGGACAGCTACCTGCTGGGATCTTTCCCCACCTCACCACTGCAGCCTCTGCCCCCATCTCCTCCTCCAAGTCCCCAAGGTCAGCGCCCTGCACAATCTCCATGGGACCTGTGCAAGTCAGGAGGAGATTGTTCTATGAATGAACTACCCCGCTCAAATCCTGAAGCTCCTCAAGTAAAAGGCTTCCAAAAACCACGGTGTGTGCCTTTCTGCAGCCTACAAGGTTAGTAAAGCACTCTTGTTTTTTGAAATGGCAGAAGGTAGAATATTGGGTCTGTGGTTGACTAGAAATCCTGAACGACATATCATTGCTACCATATCACGTCTTGTTTGAAGTTCGACTACTTTTGGACTTTGAATTAACTGCTTATGCCCTCTTCTATACAGAAGTCACCCTAGGAGAGTTTCATCCTTGCAATCCAGTTTTTTGTTTTTGTTTTGTTGTTGTTGTTGTTTTAGAGACAGGGTTTCTCTGTGTAGCTTTGGAGCCTATCTTCTCACTTGCTCTAGACCAGCCTGGACTCAAACTCACAGAGATCTGCCTGCCTCTGGCTACCAAGTCCTGGGATTAAAGGCGTAAGCCAACAATGTTTTGTGCAAACCTGAATTTTCTCCCCGCTTTTAATTTAACTCCTGCACTTTCCCTCAAAACTCCACCCTAGCATTCAGCCTTCTCGACTAGTAATTAGTAGTGATATTCTTTTATCTTATGAGCTATAGCAATAAACTGTCCTAGTTTGTGTTGACTTTCTCACTACCCCCATGGGGCCTTTCGTTATAGGTGACAGTCACCACACTTTCACTATCTTTTACAATTTTATTACAGCCCTTAATATTCAGGAAATCTCTACCTGAATGATTCACTCTAGTATTTTAAAGGCACTTTTCACAGAGCTGGAGAAAGACCTGTACCATTCGCTAACCAGAGAGTAGGAGATAGATTCCAGCTGATGTTGAGATGCTGGCACCCAGTACTGCTTTTGATTCACAGCAAGCTGTAAATCCGATCTAGTGGTACACTCATGGAATTCAAGCACTCAGAAAAGTATTCCTTCCCCATTTATTCATTTTGGTTGTGTATTTGAAAAGGTTGTATTTATTTTTGATTCTCTGTGTATGGATGTTTTCCCGGCATGTTTGTCTGTACACCATGCACTTGCCTGCTGCCAGTGGAAGCGAGAAGAAGGCTTCAGATTCCCTGGAACTAGAATTAGATGACCATAGCCTTCATTTCATTACTGGGATCTGAACCCAGATCCTCTGTAAGAGCAGCTTATGCTCTTAACCACTGAGCCATCTATACAGTCCATGCTTGTTTGAAAATGGTGACCCAGGCTGGTCTCAAGCCTTAGACTCACTTCCATTACCGTCTCATAATGCTGAGATCACATACTCATACTATCAACCACAGGACACACATACACAGTGAAATAGTCTGCGACAAATGAAAATAATGTATAATGTGATCAACAAGTCAGTGAATAAAACTGAAAGTTTGGAGAGGGGACAGAGCACACATTTCTGCTTTTTTTAATTTTTTTTTTGAGAGTGAAGAAATAGTGTCTCTCTATGTAGTCTCGATTGTACTGTAGCAAGCCTAGGTAAACTAGGCTTGTCAATTTTTGGTGGAGTTCTTTGAATCTTCTTTGAATCTTCAAAAACAGGATTTCTAAAGATCAGCCATCTTAAAATCCTATTACCAGTATGTCAAAAGACAAAAAAAAAAAAAAATGCCCAGTAGTATTCCAGGCATTTATTCCCAGCAAATTGGGGGCAGAGGCAAGCAGATCTCTGTGAGCATGGTCAACAGAGTTAGGTCAGGACAGGCTCCAAAGGCTACACTTAGAAACCCTGTTTTGACAAACAAAAAACTAAAAAAAGAAAAGAAAAAAAAAACAGAGCAACCATGAAACTCATTCTCCCCCCTCTAGGACAAAACAGTATTTCTTATGTTCAGCCTAGGGTATTGGAAAGCCAAGCCACGAGGGTTCTGGGCGGAGTCTTTGCAATGGAGGGTCAAGGGGCGGAGCCTAGTGTGAGATTTCACAACTTAATTTTCCCGTGCATCACTGACAATATAATTGACATCCAGGGTGTATCTGGCCTGACTTGAGGAAAGAGCCAGACTCCAGGTCCCGGAACTGCAGCTGCTCTGCCTGCACCATCTCAACTGTTTGCTCAGCACCCTGTGCCTCGTCAGCCTGCCACTTCCACAACATGCAGCAGAAGCGACCTCGTAGTCCCAGCCCCGAACCCGCGCCCTGCAAGGCACCACAGCCACAAGGGCCCAGCTCTGCCAAGCGCCGCCGCCTCCACGAGCCCGCCCGAAATGAGCCCCCGATGCCAACCAACCTGGAAGCGATCACACCGGCAGCCAGCGAGGAGATCATCTCCATGGTGGTCCTGCTTGACCTGGTGCTGGAGTCCCATCCCACCTCGGTAAAGCAAGTGGAGCTCCATGGATTCACGTTAATCCTGGTCCCCGAGGATCTCCCGTTGTCTGCCCCTCTTGGACAGCCTGAGATCTCGTCCACCAGACCACAGGAAGATGCTCTCCTGCAGACGCCCCAGGACCAACTTGTCGTCCTCCCTACCGAGTTCAGCCTAGAGATCTCCTATCAAGAGGACGCCTGTGATGAGGACCAGAACTCTGGCTTCATGATACCCTGGATAGGTGCTCCACCTGGTGAGGCCTCTGAGCTTTTTTCCTCCACCAAGAGGATGTCCAGCCCTTGGACTCCGGACTACAACCTCGAACCACAGCTTCCAGTGCTCTCCTCTAATGCAGCCAGAAACATCTGGGAATTGGACAGCTACCTGCTGGGACCTTTCCCCACCTCACCCCTCCAGCCTCTGCCCCCATCTCCTCCTCCAAGTCCCCAAGAGCAGCGCCCTGCACGCCCTGCAGGCCCTTCACCGGCCCTGTGCAAGGCCAAGAGGAGATTGTTCTATGAATGAAATACCCCGCACAAATTGAAGCCCCTCAAGTAAAAGGCTTCCAAAGCCACAGAGTGTGCCTTTCCGCAGCCTACAAGGTTAGAAAACCACTCTTGTTTTTCGAAATGGCAGAAGGTAGAATATTGGATTGGAGGTGTCGAAAACCTGAACCACAGATCATTGCTACCATATCATGTCCTGTTTGAAATTCGAGTACTTTTTGTCTTTGAAATAATTGCTTAGGCCCTTTTCTATACAGAAGTCACCCTAGGAGAGTTTCATGATTGTAATCCAGTTTTTTTGGTTTTTTTTTGTTTGTTTGTTTGTTTTTTGACAGGGTTCCTTTTGTTGCTTTGGAGCCTATCCTGGTTCTTCTCTGGACCAGGCTAGACTCAAACTCACACAGATCTGCCTGCCTCTGTCTCCCGAGTGCTGGGATTAAAGGCGTATGCCACCAATGCTTGGTGCAATCCTGGTTTTCTCCCAACTTTTAATTTTAGTTTTAAGCACATTGGCTTAAAACTCCACCCTACCAATCACACTTCCCAACTAGTAATTAGTAGTGAAATTCTTTTATCTGATGAGCTTTAGCACTAATCTGTCCTAGTTTGTGTTGGCTTTCCCACCACCTCCATGGGGCCTTTATCTATGGAGGCTATCCCTTGCTTGGGAAGATCGCAAATGGTTGCTGTTCCTTATGAAACAAACTTAGCAGGGGAAGCAGTGATCATGTTCCTTTTAAATAACTAAATAGTTTATATTGATGGAGTGTTTGGGTTGGTGGGATTTTTTTTAGAAACTTATTTTAATGTAACTTTGGGAGTCTTGGTTTTTGTCTTTCCATGAGAGCCAAGTCTCTTGATATCATTTTGTGTATTTTTAATATAGTACTCCTGTTCTCCATGTCATCTTATGTTACAATAATTAGTTATAAGATTATATTGTGAGAATAATTAGAGAATCCAAAATTCAAGTTGTTCTTTGTTACTAGTGTATAGATGTCCTACAGTGATTTGATATCCAACAACATTTATTAATTTCTTCAGTAATATTATTTATGTTCTTTTGGATGGTTGATAAAAACAATATCTCTAATGAGAAAGTTGGGTCTTTACTTTCCCTAAGATATTCTATTGGAGATTTAAGTTCAATTGTAGTATATTTAGTAGGGACATATCTATGTAATAAGCTTATTTAAGTTTTATAGAATATTACATTTTGTGTAAATAGTTGTTAGATAGTCTTGGTCCTGTTGAAGATGTTACTTGATAATGTTTCAGGTCATTTAAAAAATGTTGCATTTATTTTGCATTGGTTTTGGTCTAAACAAAGACTTTGTATGAATTTGTATTTATTTATTAAATTAAATTATATTTTAAAAACTTGAATATTAGAGTAACTTCATAAATGAACTTGGTTGAGCCCTGATTCTTTGGCATTCACACAGCAACATGTTTAGAGAACCAATGAGACTAAGGTTGGGTTAAAGGAATTTGCCAAACTCAGATGCACTTTTAGAGACTTGAGCAGAGATGGCTAGAAGAAGAAATGATTGAAGAGTAGCATTAAGGTGTCAAATGTTAGTATTTTAAGAATTTTTTGTTTGTGCATGGTATTCCATGCTGTCTTTGTCATCAGTCCAAGTGGTGTCTTGGCTGTGACAGAATTTACAACAGGTAAGTAAGGTTTTGTGCACCCCTGCTCTTCCACAGGGTTTCCAGGAAATTGTGATTCTATCATTGTAGTTGTTGTTTAAGATTTTATGTATCAATTATACAGTCTTCTGCTGGCATGTGTCCTGCAGACCAGAAGAGGGCACTAGATCTCATTCAAGGTGGTTGTAAGACACCATGTGGTTGCCAGGAATTGAACTCCAGACCTCTGGAAGTGCAGTCAGTGCTCTTAACCTTAGAGCCATTTCTCCAGCACCTATACTGAGACATTTTTGCTTGGAAGGTTAGAGAGTAGTTGGTTGGCTGGTTGGGTTTGTTGAGATAGGATCTTTCTACATAGTCCTGGCTGTTCTGAAACTCAATATGTGGATAGATCAGACAAGCCTCAAACTTTCAGGGATCCACCTCCCTCTGCCTGGCACACAGTTTGTGTATACCTCCTCACCACAAGAATGCCTGAATTCAGGTATAGGCCAAAAGAGGGCATCAGATGCCCTGGAATAGGAGCTACAAATAGTTTGAGCTGTGATCTGGGTGCTGGGAATAAAACTAGGGTCCTCTACAATAGCAGCCACAATGTCTGACTACTGAACTACCTCCAGCAATGATCCATATTTTATGATGCAATAAACAAAGCGGGTGAAGCATATACCAACATAAAGCTGCTTTTAGCAATATCAGTAACTATATTTTAGATTTTCCAAGTGTGGTGCGAGTTTCTTTACTCAATTTCTATCGTTGCTTCTACTCCTCACTCTATCCTCATGTCTTCTTTTTTAATTTTTTTGAGAACACATTTTTGTATTTGCTTTTTTTGTGGGTGCATGCTAGTGCCTGAGACCCATGTGGAGGCCAGATAAAACTAGCAGGAGTCAGTTCACTCTGTCTATCCTGTGGGTCTCAGAACTTGAACTTGAGTTGGCAGGTCTGGCCACAAGAACCTTTACCCATGAGCCAACCCACTGGCCCCTCATTTGTCTTCTTTCTATGCTACAATGTTTGGATGTATGGAGATAGGGTTTCCCTGGGTAGCCCAGGCTGCCTCACACATGAAATTCTTCTGCTCAGGTGTCAGAAGTGTTAAGATGATTGGAGTAGGCCACCATCTCTGAGCACCCTAGAAAACAATCCTAGGAATTCTATCTTCCATGACCTATGTGGTGAGTCTTAGTGGATGTTTGGAAATGTTTCAGTAACACCTACAAATCTGTTTGTGGGTTTGGGATTCTAATGCCTCATCTCTATTCTCTCTTAATTTAAGACACTATTCTTTTCAGTTCTTCACTGATGCAGGTAAGAAGTCTCCTGAGTAAACTGGGGTGCGGCGAGTAGAAGTGAGGGTATGGTGGGGGTGAACACGAGGGATGGGGATGGTCAATTTAGGGGAGGGATGAAGATGGGGAGTTGAAAGAGCTATATGGATAGAAGGGACCATTATGTAGCTTTAAGGAGAATCCTGATGCCTGGGAAAATCCTAGGAATCCACAAGGATGACTCCAGCTAATTCTACTAGCAATAGTGAGAGGCTGCCTAACTGGCCTTCTCCTGGAATCTGAATAGTGACTACCCTAAATGTCATCATACAACTGTCATCCAGTAACTGATGGATGTATATGCAGAGATCTACAGCCAAGGTTCGGCCAAGATCCCCATGTCCAGGGAAGGCAGGGATATTATGAGCAAGGAGAGTCAAGATCATGATGGGAAAACTCACAGAGACAGATGACCTGGGCTCTTGAGAGCTCACAGACTCTAGATGGACAGCTAGAGAACTGCCATGGGACTGATCTAGGCCCACTGCCATGTGGGTGACAGTTGTGTAGCTTGGTCTGTTTTTTGAGGCCCCTAGCTTAGGATCAGGATCTATCCCTAGTTCATGAGCTGGCTTTATGGAAATCATTCACCATTGAAGGATGCCTTGATCAGCCTTTATGCAGAATGGAGTAGTTTGGTCATGCCTCACTTGATATACCAGGCTTCGGCAATACCCCATAGGAGGCCTTACTCTTTCTGAGGAGTGGATGTGGGACAGGGTGGAGGTGGTGGAACCAGCAGGAGAGGAGGGAGGGGAAACTGTGGTTGGTATGTTAAAGACAAAATTAACATTTAATAATAAAATAAATTTCATCATCTATAAAAAGTCTCTTGGTTTGTACTGCCTTGTATTTGTAATAATTCAGCACAAATAAGTCTCACACTTATGTGTTTAGTCATACAAACCTGCCATTTGGGACTCAGTGAAGTCCATCTTCACCTTAATTCCTTCTTAATGCTTTAATTTCTAAAAATGGCTCACTGGACGAGGGAAGTAGCTCTGGAGTAAGATTGTCCAACTCTGTACAAAAGAGAAGAAAAGAAATGGCTCTTTTAGATGTCTGAAACTCTCTCCAATTTCCACCAGAGGAAAATGGTGGTCCTGTTCAATGAAGCTTTTCTCCCATGTCTCTCTCTGTCTATAGTTCCATAGTCTTGATAGAATGTATTTTCTCTCTTTTAGTTATGTGATGCATCATCTCTTTCAAAATTATGCTTGTTTTCTTTAAAAGACAGTATTTACTTCAATAATGTTATGTTCCTTTCAAAACTTCTAATAAAATATTCTTTAAAATCAACTTGTTTAGGATTGGAGAGATGTCTCAGGGCTTTAGAGGACTGGCTACTCTCCTAGATGACCCAGGTGCAATTTCCAACACCCACATAGCATCTCACTATCTCTAACTCCAATTCCCAGGGAACTAATGCTTTCTTCAGACGTCCTTGGACAATAGGCAAACATGTGGTCAAGTGACACTCACATATTATATACTATATTATATATTTGATTCATAATACATCATTATATTTTTACATATAATCTACCTTTTTTTAGTCAATATTTCCTAAATTTTCGACCTCTTGGATGTTATCTCCATTGTATATAAAAAATTTTAAGCAATGTTATTTTATATATGTTTTCTTAATAATTACATTTTCTCCGGCATATATATTCAAATTATTTGTTAGGATCTAATGACACCAATTTCTTTTTGAGGAAAAAAATTCATATTCTGCTCTATATATGATTTTTGCTTTTTTTCACTTCTTGGTTGCCAAAGACTCAAAAGTAAGAACCATATAAACAATATGGGGTACATGTAATTGACAACATACATAGTTTCAGGCACCTCAATTGGCCCAATTGTTAATGTTTACACAATAGTGATGCTGGAATAGACTATTCATATCCTCAACCCACATCAATCATTGATCAATAAAATGTCCCCACTGATATTCTCAAAGAACAGTCTGTTGGAGGTAGGTCATCAATTGGTGTTTCCTCTTGTGTCAAGTTGTCAAAAATTAACCAGC